ATATATATATATATATATATATATATATATATATATATACGGATATACATATACATTCATATACTTACATACACATAAATATATATACATATACATGCATATACATGCATATATATACATATACATACATACACATGCATATACATCCCTACACATGCATATACATGCATATACATCCCTACACATGCATATACATACATATACATACATATACATTTATATCTGTATGTATGTATATGTATGCATATGCATATATATGCATGTGTATGTATGTATATGTAAAAGATGGGAGGTTTTCAGCTGCTAGAGTTCGGGAAGATGGGCGATTTCTGGGCGATTTTGGTGTTTTCCTTCGATCTTGCATCTAACGCTGGTGAGATCCTCCCTTTGGCCTCCTCTGCTGCTTCTTTTTGGTCGTTTGGGTTTTTCTTTAGGTTTTGTGGTCGGGTTTTCTCGTGTTATGGCTCTCGAGGCTTTCATTTTCTAGGGATTTTTAGTTGTTCGTTGGGTCTTGCTCTGGATTTCATATTTTCAGGTTTATGCTTCACGTATGGAGTTCTAGTTTTCTGTTTGGATTTCGTCTGGTGATTTTTTGTGGTTTTAGGTTTTTTCTGGGCTTCAGTTCTGATGGACCAAAGCTTTACGGAGGCTCTGTGTGGAGCCCAAGCTTCGAAAGTTGGTGGTTCTGGTTTGTTCCCTTAATCATTTCATGATGCACTTAAGGTTGGTGGGGATTATAACTTCATTTGAAAAACTGGAAATAAAAATGGCAAGTTTGCTATGTTCGTATCAGAGGTTGAATCAAATATTCTTGCATCTTCTGCTAAGCACACTCTTGATTTGTTTGTGGTCACCCTAAGTTGGATTTAATTCGTAGTGATTTTGATGAGCTAAATCTTTCTGTTTTTTGGAAAATTGGTCCGCTGGATGATCGTCATATTCTCATTCAATTGTCCAATGATGAAGAATATATACGGTTGTTTTCTACAAGGTCTATTATAATAGCAGACACTCCAATGAAAATTTTAAAGTGAACAACAGATTTTGACCCTAATGCTGAACCCCCTTTGATCCTGGTGTGGTTGCGTTTTTCGGGGTTAAAATTTCACCTGTTTAATCATGAGATTTTCTTCTCCTTGGCTGCGGCGTATGGAAAACCTCTGAAGTTGGATGGGCCTACTTTTCTTTTGAATAGACCCTCTGAAGCTCGTGTTTTAGTGGAACGGGATATTACCCTTCCCTTCTATGATGAGATCTGGATTGGGTCCGAACATAAGGGGTACTGGCAGAAGGTGGAATTAGGAAATCATTCTCCCTACTGTTCACATTGTCGTATGTTTGGGCACACTTCATTGCACTATTACAAACTTCACCCACAATTAAAACAAAGCTCTGTTCCTTCTTCTATTGGGGTTGGGGTTGCTAATGACCCATTTGGGTCAGTTATGCCTATGGAAAATGTCAGGGATAGTGGACTCCCTACTGAGCCTCCTCTATGTAATAGCATTCATATCGTGCCTCCAAACCTTTCTGTGGTTAAAGATCATGATCACCCTAATGATTTCGTTGACACTTATGCTGTCCCTAATCATGCTGACTTGGTTGATTCTGTTTCTCCTATTACTCCTACAACTGATTTTCCTCTATGTGAGCAAGTTCATTCACAGGAAGTCAGGCTATCTATTTCCTCTCCTTTTAATTTTGTGGAGCTTAATACTTGCATTGTGCCGGATCCTTCGGAGGCTATTGAGGGTGCTAATTTGGCAAACCGGGTAGTCTCTGTTCATGCAACTGATCCTCCCCTTAAGCAAGCTAATTTGCAGGAAGCCCGAATTTCTACTTCATCTCCCTTATTTTTGGTAGAGGATAATATTCGCGAGATACCTGCTCCTCAGTTGTTGGTGTTTGATGAGGGTATCATTTTGGCGGCTTCTAATGCCTTGGAAGAAGAATGTTTAGTTCGGAAATCTACCTTAAAGAAAAAGAAAAGGAAGAATAAACTCTTACATCTTAACAGGGACAATATTATCATTCATGGGAAGTTCGTTTCTGATGGCGAACAGGTGACCACCCTTCCTAGATCTTCTAGAAGGGGTGCTTTGACATTTCATGATTAATATCATGGTTTGGAATATTAGGGGAGTGGCAGACGCTTCCTCCCTTAATAGACTCAAGCATCTTAGCAGGGTCCATAATATTGCCATCTTTGCTTTAGTAGAGCCTCTTGTCTCTCTTAATAAAGATTGTATCTTTTGCAAATTTAAGAGATACAACCACTTCTGTAACACCAACAACAAAATTTGTATCTTTTGGAAGAACAATATTGATTTAAATATTGTTCAGGATGAGGAGCAAATTTGTGTTGGCCTACTTTAAAGAGGATTCTTTCTTCTCTTGGGTTACTTTTGTCTATGCAAGTTCTTTGCTTCAAAAGAAATACCATCTTTGGGACAAGCTTACGGTTATGGGTTACAATATTAATGAGAATTGGTTGGTTGGAGGGGATTTTAATATGATTTTGAACCCCTTGGAACGGCGAGGTGGGAGAGGGAGTGATCTCTTGCTTATTAATCAATTTAATGACAAAATTGCTGTGGCAAACCTTTTTGACGTCAGATTCATGGGTCCCCCCTTCACGTAGAGGAGGGGTTCACTTTTTCAACATTTGGACAGGTTCTTTGCTAATCAACATTTTCTCAATTATTTCCATGTCTCTAAAGTGCAGCACCTCAATCATGCGGGTTTGGATCATAACTCCATTTGCTCTCTCTTGCTTTTACGATCAAACCTATCATTTCAAATTCCTAAATATTTGGACTTCTCATGATACCTTCTTGAGTACTGTGAAGCAGACTTGGCATTTTAATGGAGTCAGTGACGCCTGGTTTTTTTATGGCAACTTCACAGATAGGTTTTTGTGCAATTGCGTAAGTGGAACGTTACTACATTTGGTAATATCAACAATAAGGTCAAGGAAGCTCAGTTGGAGGTTGATGCTTTGGAGGAGCAGGACATTTGCTCTCCCAAGCATGTTTCTGATTTGGTGCAAGCACATGCTAATGTGCTTGATGCGATCTCTTTAGAAGAAAAATTTCTCCAACAAAAAGCTCATGATACGTACTTTACTAGTGGGGACCGTAACACTAAATTCTTTCATGTGTCTATCAAACATAGAAGAAATTTAAATACTATTTTAAAGATCAAAAAGCCTGAAGCGAGAATTATTTCTGATAAGGATGAGATAAGTTTGAATGTTGTCGATCATTTTACCAATTTGTTTCGTGCTTCCACGCAAGTCCTCCCTATTATTTCTGATTTCTTCTCTGTAGAGCAGGAGTAAATTTCTAATATTGATATTACTGCCATT